CCTGCTGAAAGTAAAGTTTCTACGTAGTTGCTGATGCAGGGAATTGGAAGTAGGCTGCGGAAGTCTTGAGTTTTCCATCAGGTTGTCTCTGCCCTCTCAAGTGGGAGGCCACATTCATGAAAGCGGGGGGGTTGTTGAATTGTCTCCTCCTGCAGAGGGACAGCATTCACTTTCACGCATTTCCATGCTTCCAGCACTGACTCAGAAACTTCTCTGAATTGTGCGATGTTTTGATTGTCTGAAGTAGTTCTGTGGATGTAATCCACAAAGTTTGCTTTTCCATGAACAGCTTAATGTGTTAAGGACAGTGTCTGTATTGCTACTGTTCTAAAGGACAGATACCTTGCTAGGTATAAACTGTCATTCTTGACCATACTGAACTGTAGCTAGGGGTACTTAAAAGAAATAAAAAATTCTTTGGGAGGGCTTTTTCCCCATGACACTGTTTGATTGGGTGATCTTCCTGACTGGTATTTCTTGATCTGCTGGGACTTCATCATGCAGACTGGTACCTGTCTACTAAGAATAAGCCGAAGGGCTCTCTTGTGTTTCAGTATTGATATCTAAAGAACATAACAGCTGTTTATGAAGATGATAATCAAGTGTGGCCATTCATGCATCCCAGTTACTTTCTTGGTGCCTCTTACCTTTTGCCTGGTTACCTGGGTGATGGTGGTAACTGGGCAGAAATGTCTCCTCTAAATCTCGGAGTAATTTGTAACCATGAAGAATACATAATACTTTCACAGATGATTTGAAAAAAATATGAACCTCTGAGTGGCAGTTAAATTATTCCAGTCCTAATGTGTGCTATGTATTTTATGGTACATCAGTTGTGTGAACAATTGTGTGTGCTTTGCCTAAGGATTTTCTAAATGTAAGTTTTGAAGAAGCGGTCAAAATGTGCACTGCACAGTCACTGTTACCTGTCAGCAGTGTTTGTCCTGTTAATGCTGAGTTGTTTGTTCACTGTAGTCCATGAACAGAGGAGAAAGGAAGTCCTTCATTGTCAGGTGGGGGTTTTTCCACTGGCCATTTTAAGTGAAAGGATGCTGTTTTGGAGTGTTTTCCATACATTATGAGGGTAGAGGGAAATGGTCTCCTTGCTGTTGTTTATAAATGGCCTTTATCAAAGAAGGTGAGAGTGTGGCACATTGCTCAGAAAGGTGGGATGACAATATTAAAATGCACAAAGGAGTGAGTTGAATTAATGGATGAAGTTCCCATTGGTTGTTTCAGTGGGTAATCTAATGCAGGTGGAGGCATCGGAACCTCTCTACTAGAAATACTAGTCTGTAATTAGGTGGGTTTTGAACATGGTATACAGTTTTTAGAAAAAGAAGACAATTTGGTACTATATGCTGTGCAGAGTGTTCAGGGATCTCTTCCTGTGTGCTTGAATTACTGGTAAAATACGTCTGAACAGATAGTGCTGCTATCCAAATTTTTTAAATTGAGTGAAGGGCTGATACTGGTAAATGCATTCAAGAAGCCTTGATGCAAGCCTTGTCTCCTGCAGCTTTTGATCTGTAATAATGATCTTGCTTTTTGATTTGTCACTGGGGCTAATATTCATAGTATAAATATGTTTCTGGGCCATACTGTTCTCTGGTATGTACCTTGTTAATAGTGGATTTTAATTTTTTCTCCTGTTGCAGAGCTTCTGTATTTTTTTTAACACCAGATCTTCCAAGTTGGATTTTCTGAGACCGATTGCAGACGAGAAGTAACTGAACACGCATGTGCCCACTGCAGCTGTGTGAGCTGCTTGGACTCCTGCAGATCATGTTAAGTGCCTTAGTTCTGGAGGGGCAGTGTGTTACTGATAAACCTTTCTTTTGGGTCAAAAAAAACCCCACCCTGCAATCAAACTTAATTTCCTCTAGTGCATGGGACTGGCAAATTCTGTGGATCTCACTTCTGTGTTTTAAGCTATTACTGCCTTGAGGTGTCTGCCCCGCTTCGTTTTCAGAAGCACACGTTCCCTTCTGCCTCCTCTGCTGTTGAGGGGTTACCTTTCTTAGCTGATTATATTTGACCAGAAGTGAATTTTTTAAAATGTTCCCAGCTGCATTTGCAAAGGCTTTTCCATTAGCTAGCTCTTACATTCCCATATCTTTGTGTAACCATCACATACAGCTATTCAAACAAGAAGCACTGTAAAAATGAACGTTGAATGGGTGCGTATAGTTATGCCTTCTGTCTCTGAAGAGTTACAGGTATTTTGTGAAAAGCTTTTTGTGACATTTTAATAACTGTGTTTTAGATTATGCTGGAACACTTGCACAAAGAAAATAAATCCTTTCACTCCCAATGTTCTGCGGGTTTGTTTCTTTTCTCAGATGGTTGGTAATATAAAATGGAAATTGACTCTTTATACAAGAGGCATTTGAAGTGTCAACCTTGCCAGCCTTCTCACCTAGTCCTGATTATGCTTATAACATTTTTGATGCCCATATGAGAATTTAGTCTAATTCTTGTAGCATCAGCAGCTTTGTATTTTTTTTCAGTTCTAGGAAATTCTGTGAAATTGAGTTATGCTGACAGTTAGGTTTTGGTGTTGTGTTTTTTCTTTAATTACAACATTAGTTGTAATGAAATAGAAATGAAATCTATTTTTGTGAAGTTTTAGAACTTGTTTCAGGCATAGCTTAATATAGCAGAAGTAAGCACTGGTAAGTCAGAGCAAGTTCATACTTGAGTTCTACCAGTTTAAAGCTCAGGACATGGATGAGGCTGTAGATTGATGTCCTCTTCCAAAGCTACCTGTGATGAGGCTGTCGCCAGCTCAGATCTGATGACAGTGCTGCTCTGCTGTCCTTCCCTGGCTGTCTCCAGTCATCTGGGCTGCCTTAAGCAGTGCAGTAACCTCACCCATCTGTGTCTGACTCGAGTGGAGGAGGCCTTGTACAAAAGACTGTGAAGGGAATCAAAGGAGAGCAGAATCCATTTCCATCTTTGTTTAGGGACCCTTCAACACTGCACCCGTATTCAGTAACACAGTTGTTACTCTTGATTCCTTTTCTTGAGGTAGTATGTTAAGCTGGAAAAACAGCTTATTCCTGGCTAAAGAATTAATACTGGAGCTCAATTGCTCAGTAGTCAGGCCTCAAATATTTTTGCTGGGTATCTTGAAAATACCTTCTCATATAGGTGTTACATGCTTACTAGTTGGTTTTTAAAGTACATTTCTTGAGTTTTGACACACATGCCTACCCCATCCTCCAGTTGCTGTCCTGACTGTACCTTTAACATGACAGTGCCTACCTATGGTTGGAGTTATTTGAGCCAGAAGTTGAAAACCTTCAGACACAAGCAGTTTGGGAATAGCTTTAGCCTATTTCTTTATTCAACAGCTTAAATGATACAAAATGAATATAGCTGCTTCTGCAGATGGGACAGAAGAACATCGCTGTAAGGCCTCAACTTCGTGCATTACTACCGTTGCTGTGTTTCTTGGAACTCCCGTGTCGAGAGGAAGGCATCTAGACTCCCTAAGCTATTTGGCCTCCTATATTTAAAAAAAATAAAAAAAAATTCTGGAGTTTGTTTTTGCCTTAAGTTAAAGACTTTGGGATCTCTTGTATGAAGCAAAATAGTGACACAGAGCTCTTTCAGAGGAGCCCCTGCCTATCATCATTTTCCAGCATGTCTTCTCAACTACTGATTCTTAAATTGCAGTTCCCCTTCTCCCAAATCAGCCTCTGAGGGAAAGAACACTCCTTTCAGTTTTGCTGAGTATGTAAGGCTGCTAATGACTTTTCCAAATTGAAGTGTTCAGGGGACTTTCAAGGCTGCAGATGGTGTCAGTTATTACTTTGTAATACAAAGGAATAGAGCGTTATTTGGCAAAAGTTTACTGCCTGCATGCTTTCTTGTAGACCTTCTAGAATTTATAGGATAAAAAGGAAGGTAGTGATCTCATTTAATCTGATATGTAATAGTGGCATTAGGGTTGATCTTTAGTTGGCCAACATCTTGTGTTTAACTGGTCTCCGAACCAAATAGAAATTGCTAAAAGAGTAAGGGAGCAGTTGTTGCTGAACTGTGGAGTAGTGAAGAAGGGTACTTTGTCGTGTCTTGTGAAATACAAAGCTGCTTGGATTTTGTGCTTTTTTGGTTAGTTAATTGCCTGTTCTTGTTCACTGACAAATGGTCATTGATACTAAAGCTACTAAACTTTCATTCTGTGCAGTTTGAGTTCATTTGTTAGTTCTGTTTGCCCTATCCCAAGAAAATGAAGGGCTGCAAGTGCAGTGACCACATAGTGACACATGTTCACAGGAGCTGCACTGTGACTCTTTGACCAGGCATGCCTTGTTGTCCTTCTCTGAGTTCAAAACCTTCAGTATTGCTGGTAGTGAAAGAGGTTAGGAATGGAGGTGTAGGCCCTAGTCACAAAACCAGAGCAAAAGCAGTTTGGTTCTTTTGTTTCAGTCCTGGCAGAAGAGTATTTTGCTGGTGTGTCTTCATTATGTGGATGAAAATCCTGGTTTTACTTACTTTCGAATACTAAATAATTAAATGTCAGTGGAGAGCTTTGTATTTTAATTTTGTTCCTAGTTACACATTCACATTGAACTCCTTAGTGGATTCTGAAGTTCGGCATAAATCAGTTTCCCATTTGTGTCACATGTAATCTGACTGCTGTACCTTCTTCACAGGAGAGTGATATTGGAGGCCTCGTTTTTCTATTTTGTTTAAAATGTCAGTGAAAAATACCTTTTGCTCTAAAAATGGTGAGACTGTCTTTTGTCTGAACATGTTCTCTTTCCCCTGCAAGTAAGAGGTGCAGGGAAACCCTTAAATTGAAGGAAGCAGATGCGTTCACTCTGCAGAAGACTTGCTGACTGTAATGGATTGGCTTTGCTTAGAGCTGAAGTCTCTTCCAGGCCATGGTGTGTGGCCAGCTAAAACCAGTATTCATCCAGTATTCATCCCAATTAGCTGATCATTGTGCCTTTAGTCACATCCTGTGCATCTTGATGATGGGAAATTATGGGTGTGGTTGAAGTCTTCGATCTCAAAAAATATCTTTATGGTAGCTACAAATACCATTTTTTTTCCCCCTTGGTTACACTGGGTGCTTCTCAGCACACTACTAGACAGCATGGTGGGTTGCAGGCGTGAATTCTGCTCTGCCAGGAATGACACGTTACCATCTGCAAACCATTACTTTAGAGCTGTTGTCTAATTGAAATAATAGTTGTATTTTCTTTCCTGAGTTTGTGCAGTCTCTTGATAAATGCTTTGTAGCACTGGTTTGCTGCCCTGCAGCAGTTTCAGGCATTTTTCTGCAAAGGCACAGTAATACTTCATTTTTTTCCCTGATGGGCCCTGGAGTTTTTGAGGGTAGATGCTTGGTTTGAGTCGTCAAAGCTCCTGCTAGAATGTGTGGATCTAAGAAAGGGTAGGAGTAATTGAGAAATAACTGATATGTTCTGGAAACACAAGGGAATTTGGGTGCAGATGAATTCAGAGGACTTAACAGAAATGGACCACTTGAAATGAATCCTGTGAGGCGAGGCTGGTGATGCACTCTGTTCCTGAGGGAAACTTGCTTGTCCTCAGCATAGCTGAGAAAGAGTGGGTGGATTATAGCCTTTGTGGCACTTGACTCTGAGCCTTAATCTGTGGCATACAGGATAAAAATGTATGCAGGGAACAGAGGAAATAGGAGATACCACTGCATCTCATTAAATAAAATAATGAAATTTTTTAAATCATATGGTAGTAGTTTTAATGGTCATACAGGGTTTTTAATTCTTATCCCTGACTGTTATCCAAGTGTAAACTCTGCATTTTTATCTGGCATTGTCTTAAAGCAATGAAGCTAATATTTATATTTTTTGAGAACACTGTTTTGCATAAAAGATGTGCTTTGTAAACGTAGGCAACAAAACAGTGCTTTACTGTTTGGCCACTTAGAAGATGTGCAGCAGTCCAGGAATGTCTTAATTCTTAAAGATTAGGTTGTATTTTTATGCAATACTACTTGCTTTACAATAAAGTGAAAAATTGATGTTTAAACCAATATTGGTTTTACTCTTGCGATCTTTTGGGATTATACAATTTGCCTCTTTGCAGAGAAATGGCTGAGTAAGTCAGTGTTTCAGATACCAAGTAGGAATGAATTTCAGTCACTATGACTAAGCTGAAGTGTATTTGATACGTGCTTATTGTTTGAACTTTGAGTTTGCTCTGAGTAAAATACATGACTTTCCACCTCAGCAATTGTTGTCTGTGACAGCATTTTACTTAGTTCTTCGTATGCTCTTGTGCAGCTGTGTCTTACAGCTACATGTTTTTTACTGAATTAGACTTTATTGATGCTTGTGACTATTAAATTAGCATTTATCACATTGAAATAAAGGGTTCTTTTTAGTCTTAATCTGTATCTGAGTGCACTTGGTTTTGAAATCAGAATACATAGTGCTGAAAAAGTAGTTAAGCTGACTTGGCAGTCAGGTCTTATAATTGTTATGTAGTATGTTGTTGACATCAAGTTTTTGCTTAAGTTTATTCATATTTGTTAAATTGTAAAATACCATCACAAGTTAAACTTTCTGTGGTGTGTGGTACTTAAGAGGATTGAAGACATCCAGAAATCCAGGGCTGTCTTAAGAATTAAGAACTGAAAAAAGATTGAGAAATAAAAGCACTAATAAATGCTCAAGGAAAATCTGTTTCAGAATTGCGTAACTGTTTATCCTAGTGATAGGCAATGAAACCTGGATGTTTCAAAATGTTGGTGTCAAAATACTGCAAAGGTATTGCATTATTATCTTTCTTGGCAATAGGTCACTGGGGTTTGGAGTACAAGGAATCGGGGGGGTGTGTGTTCCCCAGTTCTCATCGGGTGGTTTGACCAAGGAGTTCTCTGTCTTGTGTTGCCGGCTGCTGAAATGTGCTGCCACTTCCTCTCGGTGAGGAGGTGTAGGGGAGCTGCTGGGGGGAAGCCCAGTCAGCTGGGGGAGGGTGGACGAGGAGGGAGTTGCATGATGTGGCTGAGCAGGTAACATCACTGTGGATCTTGGGGAAAGGATCAGGAAAGAGGGAACGGAACCACGTGAGATTGTGCAGAGCGGTGTGTGGTCCAGTGCAAAGTCAGAGTCACAGGTACTTCAGTAGAGTTAGCAATAGCTTAACTTTGGTGAAACTTGAATTATGAAATTGTAATATTGCATATGCTGTTGTCTTACCAGTTTATGGTTTTTTTTTTAGGTTACAGTATAGTAAAACAGTTTTTTTTCTGTACCCTTTTATAGGAATTAATTTAATGTGGGAATTCGGGGTACAGTTGATGGGCCACTTGTTGGTGGCTTGTTTTCAGGGTATTTTTTTCTACTTTCAGCTCTGCTGAAGCTCTTTTGTAGAGGCAAGTATACTGCTTAAGCACTTCAGTGTGTGCCACTGTAATGTTGTGGGACCTGTGAATGGATTAAGTAGTTCATGAGGCAGTATTTCTTGAAACTTGTTTCAGAACATGAAGCTATTGAAATCCCTGCACCAGCATTCCTCCACTGCAGCATTTAAATAGAGATTGCTGTTTTGCAAGCTGACCTGGAACAGTCTTCTTCCATCAGAGTAGCTGTCTGAATTAGCTATGTGTTGGTCATATGCATATCTGAGTGATTTAATATTTCAAAAACTGAGGCAGCAACAACTCTGTTGTGGAGAACTATGCCATTTTAATCTCGGTCAGCATAAGCATTGCATACCTTTGATGGAAAATGAATGGTGCGTTCTTTGTGCAATGCTTCCAGTGTGTGAAGAGGATATGGCAGTAGAAAGCATTCTGATTAGAGGAGGGCTTCTTATACTGAGCGCTGTAAGTATCTGTAACGTTCTCTGTCAAAAGGAGAGTTAAGCTGGCTAATGCTTCTGACTGCAATAGCGTATTAGAAGAGGCTAAGGCTGTTAAAACACCCTCAAAACATCGGGTGAATGTCACTGCATTAAAATGAACCTAAGTCAGGCTATCTTAAAATAAATCTACACTTTTAGCCTCTACCACGAGCTAGCAGTGACCTATCTTTAGTACTAGGCACGGCATGAGTGGAAACTGTCATGTGAGGTTGACTTTTGATGTAAATATGTCTGCAGAGTGATTTTAGCTCAGTTGCTCATGCTGTAATAGCTAAGGCTCTGTGCCGGGCAGGGTGCTTAACTGTGGTTGCATTTTTGCATTTCTTCCCAGTGCTGCATGAAATGTTGAATTTCATGAATCTGCATCACTAAACTATGTGCTGCTGGCTCCTTTTCTTTCTTTGAAATGGTGACTGTGGTGGTGAGCAGGAACAGTGAGACCACTTCTGGGCTGGGGGTGTCAGTCACTGTCCAGCTTATGGCTTCATGAATAGGATGGAAGCTTGGACATGTTTCCTAATAGCTTGGCTCTTGGCAATACCCAGTATATAATACACAGTTTAGATTTTTAACTTCAGATGTTTCTTTCCTGACCTTTAAAAATCTAATGCTCTTGTTATTATGGTGAAGTTTTTCTAGTGTCTCAAAATACTACTTTGCTTAGCAGAAAACCCCCAGAAATGAGCGTTATACTTTAGTTGTCAGGTGAGGTTTGAGAATGTTAAGAAAAGTGACACTAGAATGGATGTGGTGTGCTCTTCTGTCTGTCTCTTGTGTGCTTCAGAATATTTCAGATTCAGCATGGCCTGTGCATAGGGGGTACTTGGTGCTGTTTCTACAGGTCTTGTAGACATTTTGGGTTATAAAATACAATAAACTTTTTAGTGTATTCTCTTGTTGATCTGCTAATGAGGTAAAAAAAAAGGAATCCTTTTTGAATAGGAACATTGGTGCTTGAAAGACATGGAAATCATTGTAGATGGTAGCTTGTAAACTTGTTACTATTTTTATTTCTAATACCTTCTTGATTTAGAAAATTATTGTGGGGTGTGTTGGTGACTTCTGAGAACAAACTGTAACAACTGGCAGCGTGATTGAAGTGGTACGATTAAGGAATTATTGCAATTTTGAAATAAATTACCTTTCTGATGCTATATTTAGCTTGTGCTTCTTCATACGAATTGCCTTTTTCTCCAACTTTTATGTATGCAATTTTGTGGGGGGGAAAAAGTGATGACAAAGATGTTTCCCTGCTTTGGTTTATAAAGACACAACTCTGTGTTACTTGTGTGTACTTAAACACTCAAAACTTTCTTTGGAAAGCTTGTGCAGGTGAACCACCTGCTCTGCCACTGCTGATACCGCTGGGTGTTAGTGACATTCTCACGGCTGCTTCCTGTAGGACTCTGCTTTTGCATCCAAGGGTGTATGTAGAGGTGGGTGGCAAATTGTCATCTGACATGGAGAACTCTGGGAGCTTTTGCGAGTTGATACTGCTGTGTTCACCTCCCAGAGGGAGAGTCTCTGTTTTGGCTGTGTCCGAGTTCAGGCTTTTGAAGGATTGGAGAGACGATGCTGACAGGATTTTAGATTTAATTTCTCAAAGTACTTGGAAATTTCTTCAGTTCATTGTTTTATGCTTCATGGAAGTATTTTTACAGAAATTTGGAGGGTTTTTTGGTTTTGTTTCCTACACTGGAAATTCTAAAATACCCTCCTTGAGGAGGGAAGAAAACCCACCAAAACAAAATTCTGCGACTAATACAGAGTTGTGTGAAGCAAAGTTTTGTTTTAAGAAAAACTCTTCCTCCAGGTGCTTCAGACTAGGAAGGGGCAGGAGTTGATAAAGAGGGCAGGTAGCAGAGAGCTGAAAGTGGTAGAGCATACTTTGAATAAAATAACTGTTCATAGACAAACTCACAATTTCTGTGTTTTTTGTTTTATAGGCTAAAGAAATTTTGACAAAAGAGTCTAATGTACAAGAAGTGCGATGTCCAGTCACAGTCTGTGGAGATGTCCATGGACAATTTCATGACCTCATGGAACTCTTCAGAATTGGAGGCAAATCACCAGACACAAACTATTTGTTTATGGGGGACTATGTTGACAGAGGCTATTATTCAGTCGAAACAGTCACATTGCTTGTAGCTCTTAAGGTAACTTCTCTCCTCAGCTGTACAATTCTGTGTAGAACGTATATAATTACTATTCTGACCACACTTAGTATCTGCTATGATTTGTACTACTTTGGTATAATAGGTACAAAAACTGAAATGTTGGCTGTCTTAGTTATCTAAGATACTTCTGGGGGAGGGAGGAAATGTTCAGGTGCAAGCCTGAACTTTTTCTCAAATGAGTGCTGTATTTATTTTTTTTACTTGCCTAAGTAGCAATCTTTAAGAATTCACTTGGAGAGATCAGCTTAATGCACAAGGGTAGTAATAGTGATTTAAATTTGTAATTAATCTTAAAAGTATTTGGTAGCTGAAGATCTGAATGAATTATCCATTCTTTTCTCAATGGTTATGATTGAATCTTTGTTTTTTATTTCTTTATTAACATATGACAACGGGCGAGGGAGTGCAAATACTGGTTTTTGGGAAGACACATGTGTTATGGTGCCTCTAAAGTAAACTGTTATGTCTAGGTCCGTTACCGTGAACGTATCACAATTCTTCGAGGGAACCACGAAAGCAGGCAAATCACACAAGTATATGGTTTCTATGATGAATGTTTAAGAAAATACGGAAATGCAAATGTTTGGAAATACTTTACAGACCTTTTTGATTACCTGCCTCTAACTGCCTTGGTGGATGGCCAGGTATGTTGAAATTATACAAAGTTAGATGTTACTAGTTGTAAAGGGAGCCATTCATTGATGCTTTATTCTATCAGCTCTCAGCTTTAAAGGAATCTCTTGCAGATTTTCTCCTCATAACTTCTAATAAACAATTATAATTGCGCTAATGAAACGAATGTAAAAGAATGATACAGACGTACCTATCTAACTCTTTCAGATTTTCTGTCTACATGGTGGCCTCTCTCCATCAATAGATACACTGGATCACATCAGAGCACTTGATCGCTTGCAGGAGGTTCCACATGAGGTACTGAAAAATAATTTTCTGAACTTGTGGGATTCATGATTCAGCAGATACTGGGTAGTTGAATACAAAGGCCAAAAGATAAATTCAAACAACTTAGCATTGTGAAAGTGCCTATCTTCCTGTTCCAGTTTTTTGAAAGAAAAGGGCCATGTTCTTGCCTAAAGAAAGAAACGTTTTAGCGTGCTTAGGATCTCAACAGGTACCACTTAATGATCTTGGAGGTGAGAACTACTATGAAAATTCTTCATTCAGATTAACTTCTTGATAGTATTTCAAGTGTTAACTGCCCTAGCTGTAGTTGGTAGGCTTTTTTTTTTCCTTAGAGATGCTGTAGCAGTTTGTGCGGCGGTGATGTGTGGTAGGTTTTTTGTGGGGTCTCTGTTTCTGAAACATCTCTTGCATCTCTTACAGGGTCCAATGTGTGACTTACTATGGTCAGATCCAGATGATCGTGGTGGCTGGGGAATTTCTCCTCGAGGTGCAGGTTATACATTTGGACAGGATATTTCAGAAACCTTTAACCATGCTAATGGCCTTACGTTGGTTTCAAGAGCTCATCAGTTGGTAATGGAGGTAAGCAGGGTAGCCTGTGTATTTAAACGCTGAATTAGGTAGTTGGCGCATTAATAGTATACTTTGTGTGACAGATGTGTGTGTGCTGTGGTGGCAACTGGTGATCCAGCTGAGAGTCTTCCAGAAACACTATTTTGACACAGTATTCATGTCCTACTAAAGGAGTTTCTCAGTCTGACAGTGGAATAAACTTTATTTTGGCCTTTTTTTCCTGAAAATTTACAGACTTTAATAGTAGATGTATTGTATTTCTGTGTAGATAAAAAGGTTCTGAAACATAAATGCTTGAGTCTCTTGATAAGAAAACGCACACAAATGTGTGCCTTGAAAAAAGATGTGTTCTTCCTTTTTACCTTGGATGGATGTTTTTGTTCTTAGTCTATAGCTATCCCTGGCAGTTAAGATTTTTAAATGTATGTCTGGATTCTAGTTTTGCTGATTGCAGCTGAAGATTCAGAGTAGATTGTGTACTTCAGAACTGCTGTCTTAATTTTTTTAATGCTAATGCAGTGGAAAATTCTTTAATGCTTATCTCATGCTTACTAGTAAGAAACAACATAGGAAGGTCAAAATTCCTTTTTACCCCTTTTCTCTCCGGAAGACAAATGAAGATGCAGTCTTAATCTTCTTTAAAATGACACTACGAATGCCAGTTAGGGTTTTGTGTGTTGAAAATTCAGTTTAGTAGTCAGCTAGCTACATGGGGTACAACAAATGGACTTGGCTGTCATAATTACTGGGGTTTTTTTTTCTTCAACAGGGGTACAACTGGTGCCATGATCGGAATGTAGTAACAATTTTCAGTGCTCCAAATTATTGTTACCGTTGTGGCAACCAGGCTGCAATTATGGAACTTGACGATACTCTAAAATACTCCTTGTAAGTATGCTTAAAAATGAGATTTACATTGCCCATAATTTTAAGATAGTTGCTGTAGCAAGATACCACTCACTGTGTTAGAGTACGGTTTTTCCCTATATGCTTTTTGGGAGGAGACGTAAATGTAGAATTGTAGACCTATAGTCTTAGAGTACAATGCCTGGAACAGTTGTTGACATCTTGTCTGTCAGATTAAAGTGAGACTCCTCGTTTTTGTTTTGTGGAATTGGAGTTTAATGAAATACTATAGAGAATATACAGTTGGAGAGTAGGAGTACTCTGTCGTGTCTGAGGTAATGCCCTTCTGTCTGTCTAGGGCAAGAGACTCCTGGAACCTTTGAATTCTTCAGATGTTAGGATGTCAGCATTTTAATGAGGTTTCTAATTAACTACTTCAGCAGCAACTTTACTAGTAAATGAGGCAAAAGCATTGTGTAAACTGCCCCCTTTGACAATTGCTGCCGACATTAACTTTAAATGTCTACTAATGTTTTGACCAATTTATGAATCTTAAAACTAAGATTCATTCCTCTCCAGTCAGTAGTAGTAATCATAAGAGGGGTTTAAAATACGGGTGTTATAAATACATACTCATAGAAGGAGTTGAAGAAGTTGAACACTTGTAGAAGACTTAAATTGGTAGAAAAAAAGCTTGACTTACCTGTTTTAAGACTTCTGCTGCTGTATTTCATGTATAAAACATACCTGAATGTCTGCTGAACTGTTGTGATTTATTTAATGTCTGTGCTTTTCAGTTTGCAGTTTGATCCAGCACCACGTAGAGGTGAACCGCATGTTACTCGTCGCACCCCAGACTACTTCCTGTAAAGAGATTTTAGACCTGTACAGTATTGCCATGAACCATATGTTGACCTAAAGAAAATGGGAAGAGCAACAGTAACTCCAAAGTGTCAGAAAATATTTAACATTCAAACTTGTTTTCACATGGACCAAAAGACGTGCCATATTCAAATACAAAGCCTCTTGTCGTCAACAACTGTGACCACTTTAGAATGAACCAGTTCATTGCATGCTGAAGCAACATTGTTGGTCAAGAAACCAGTTTCTGGCATAGCGCTATTTGTAGTTACTTTTGCTTTCTCTGAGAGACTGCAAATAATAAGATGTAGACATTAACACCTCGTGAATACATTTAACTTTCCATTTAGCTATAGCTTTATTCAGCATGACTTGTAGATAAGGGTAGCAGCAAACAATCATTGAAGCTTAAAGAACATTTTTAAAATAAGTACCAAGGCCTCATATTTGTTCTGAAACTGTTTGTTTTATTTTCAGGGAATACTGTTTAATTTAATTGTATTGACTTTTTTTTTGTCTGCACTCAGTTCCCTCTTCCAGTCTTTGCCCTACCATATTGTCCATTGTAATTGTCCAAGGATAGTGAATTACTTTGAACAGAACTGTTTTTTTCTGTAAAACAATGTTACTGCAGGACAGAGCTGCAGTGTTTTTCATAATAAACTTGTGAACTAAGTATGGAAAAATGTCAAATCCTAATTGCATCTCAGGTCAACTGTGGTTTAATAAACTGACTTAGCTGGATGGGTTTTATAAACTTGCGTAGAAATCTCCACCTTAAATAACTAAAACTGAGGTGCTGGAAAACACTGACCTTTTGGACTCTGTCCCAGGGAGGTGCCTGGTCATTGATGTCATGCGGCTGAGGACAGAGCTCACGTATTACTGACATGTTGCTCTCTTTCCTTTTTGGTGCTCTACTGAAATACACAGAAATGAAAGAATACAGGTTAACTTTAATGGCTGAGTGTGGCTTTTTTCCAAGTGTAAATCTAATCTGAGTTATTTGCAATGTAGGTGCTAATACTAAAAACCATCTTCTGAAAAACTAAGAATAAAACCAGTTTTCTAACTATTAATAACTTGAAAACTACGTGTATTGCCCAAGCTCCCATTTTGAAAAATAGTGGTATGTGTTTTATGTGAATGTGTTTAAATCTTTCCTTTCTAGTACTTTGTTTCATAATTTGAATCTTGATTTGATTATTTTGTTCAAAACAGAAGAAGCAGCTTTCATGCCTTCTTAAGGCTTGTGCTTGAACCTTGTTGGGCCTGTCTTAAAAATACATACTTGGCTGCTGCTTCAATAGAGGACTCGGGACATAATGTAGACTCTGCACTGACACATTTTTTGGTACACTGTTTGCTTCTAAGGCAGAGTACAGATGTCCAGCTTACCTGGAGGCCTGGTCCTAGACACTCTTTGGGGCTTGCTTTTCTGCTGAAAGACTGCTGAGTTTCCTACATTGCGAAGAAGGCGCTGCATTTCACCAAGCGTGACTTCAGCCCTTTTCTGAAAGGCTTGAGTGGTTGCTTTTTTTCCTCAGCAAAAATTGCGACTTTATCCTGTAGGTTGGGTTCCAAGTGGTTTCTGGAGAGCGCTCAGTCTCCTGCAGTTTGATCTCTTACAGGAAGAAGTGCATACTAAAAATAAGTGCATCTGAAGTGTCTTTTTTTAGTATATTGGGAACTTTTGCTTTGATCACTATTTAAAAAGAAATCCTTTGCTGCAGAGAGTAGTTCACTTTAAATTCCTTTTGCTTGCCATTCTCTGTAAATGTTTGTGTAGCTAGAACTTTGTGCCTTAATTGACACCATTCCTTCAAGAGTAATGTCTTTGCCCTATTTTCTGTTTTCCCTGGTACTTTAATCATGAGCGTGACTCACTGCTCTGCGTGGGAACAGCCAGTTCACTTGTTCAGTTTCTGTACACAAATGCAAGCAGTTATTAGTAAAGTCAGTGGAAAATGCTGAAAGTCGCTCTAGTTTTTGCACTTTCCCCTGTAATTACACTGTGACTGGCCCTTCGATGATTTCATTGAGAATATCACATTGTGAAGAAAAAATGGTTACCCTGCTGGTGACTGGCCACCAGCAGTACTGACCAGCTAAAAGCACGTTTGGAAGGTTCAAGAGGAGAAGGAAAACTTCAAATGGAAATAATTGTCTGAAGTATTCATAGCTGATAGAGTTCACCTGAGCAAAACTTCCTTCACCTCAAACTGTGATGACACTGGCTGCAGAATGAGCAAAATTAGGATTAGTGTTTGTTCTGGTGATCACTGTTGGTGTTTCCTCCTTTGCTACAACGACTGGTGAATTCCATGAAATGGGAAATAGGAGTAGCTGGAAATCCCATGTTGTGGTTCAGTAGTTTTAGAGCAGGATAGTTAAACCCAGTGGTTACTGAGGAGGGCTGACGGGGGGGGTTGACTCAGAAAGCAGTTGTGAATGAAACGACACTTTTCTATGAACAGCTCTAAAAACTTGCCCTTTTTCCTTCTGTTTCTCAGGATTTGGAGACGGTCAGCAGAATCCTGTTGGTAGACAGGTGGGAGGCCAGGGTTGAGGTTTCCATGTTGTGTTTTACTTAAAACACACTTACTGATGTCCTGTCACTTGGCCATTTATCTGTTTGTAGATTGGACTGAAGTGTAAGCACCTATATGATAGTGGTGGCCTGCCCTTCTTAACTAAGGGGTCATTTAGTCAAAAACAGGAAGCAAAATTACACCCCTAAATGGGAGGACTTGCCATAACACTTCTGAAAGGAAAAAGGAGATGGAATTGAGATGTATAGGTATGCCAGCTTTTTCCCCCTTCATCCTCTGTGCCTGCCTTCCTGGTGGCTCTGCTGCCCCGCTCTCCCTCCTCTGCAGAGCCCTGGAGAGCAGGGCTGGTGGCTGCAGCAGGCGGTGCCGGAGGAGCAGCGCTGCGTGGGCAGATGGACGTTCTCTCCAAGGTAAACCAGCGCACGCGTTTGGGTCCTGGTTGTGTCAGATTTGTTCCAGGCGCAGATATTTGCGTACACGTTCAGCATCCCTGCTTCAGATGCTTGGGCAGTGGTGCCTGGTTTAGAGCTGATGCTACCCTTGGCATGCATGGAGCCACCTTGTTCTTCCCCAGGTATCTGGATGGTAACAGTAAATTCTGCCTCGGGGAAAAGATGGTGAGGGTACGTATTGCTGATGAAAGCTTTGGCATTTTGTCTGCCTGTGTTCTGGTCTGGTTAGCATCAAAAGTCCCTCTGGAAATCTTACTAAAGAAAAGACTTGTGAGTTACTGATACCTGCTAACCTGTGCTTCCAGGTGCCGCTTGAGGGATTTTTAAAATTTCTTTTTCTTACAGTAGTAAACACTGAAAATAATTTTTATAAAGTAGTTTTGTGTTTAGAGCCTGGGACACATTCTTTGTTCTGGCAATTTGGAAATTCAGCCTGAATCTTAAAGGCAAAGAATTTCCTCATGAACAATACAAAACCAAAACTGTTACGCAAGTACTAGGTTTATTATGGGCGTTTTTTCGTAGTTCGACAAACACGTCCCTCTGTTTTTCCCCTCTCACACCTTCATCTTAATTTCCTTCGTAACACTGAGTGCACTTCCTGCTATCAGAGGAGCTGTAACCACGGGAGCAGGAGGGAGCTGGAGGATAAATGCGCTTGCTCATTCTGCAAAAACGGTCTAGGAGAAGATGGAAGTGTGGTCAAATCACAACTTTGAATTTTAAAAAATGCTGCTCCAAATTTAGTTGAAGGTGTGGCTCCACTCTCACCACTTCCTTACGCACCTGTCACGCACTCCTTTATCTCTTCAATTGCTTGCTTGTATGCTGAGCACTCATGACAACACAAGATACGTCTTGGGGGATTTTCCACAGGTTAAAGGACAGTTTTACATGAGAGAAATGGCTTTTTAGTATTCCTTGTCTTTTGCAACCATATGCATGGTTTACATGGGCTTAGATTTTGGAGCACAGCGTTTGCAGGCAATAGTTTTTGAAGTCTTGTGGAATGTGCAGGCGCTTCCTGCGGCCATCACCACGTGGAGTGTTCTTTTCGCTGCAAGTTCCAGGAGAAGGCTGGAAAGCAAAGTGTTAAGTGAAAATGACACTGGGCTGTAGAAATCTTTCAGTACCTGTGAATACACTAAAAAAGCCCTGCAGAGTAAGCATTCCTGAGTCAGCCTGCTGTGGCTTTTTAAAAAGTTACTCTGGTGCTCTAATTGATTTGGCTGTGCTGCTTTTGGATGAGAATAAAGACAAGCTGCTCTCTTGAGCAGAGGACCAGAGTTCTTTGGCATATATACAGGGAAAAAAAGGCTGAAACAACACTTTTGGTTTTAAATTAAGCAATGCTGTGTGTTTTAGCCTTTTAAAACCTGCGCTGTGACTTAAAAGCTTCATTCTTTAAGATGGGTTGAACTACAGCTCCTGATCTCTTACTCTATGGTGAACAGAATGGCTTTGGGATGGAGGTTAAACTGATTGCTGCTAGTGTATAAAACATTGATCGCTAACAGTACCTAAATACTGTATATACGTAATTAGCCAGCATATGGGACACATATGAAACCAGGTTGGACACAATGGCCTTTAGAATAGGAGGGCACTGCAGCATGAGGGCAGGTTAACTGGTGAGGCTGCAGAATATCTGCTCCGGGGGGTTTTCAGGGCTGGGCTAGAAAATGCCACAGCTGAGTTGGCACTGGTGCTGGTGCCACTTCCAAGGGAAGAGTGAGGTCCCTTCCAGCTGACATTTCTCCTATGGTACATGAGATGCAGGATTGGTGGTTATCCTGTGGGCTTTTTTGTCCAACTGCTGTGAAGCTGTTGAGACTTTGGCTGTGGTTTGCAGAACATCACCTAGAAATAAGAGGTGTATGTGTCCAGTAGCTTCAAACCAGCATCAGTTTGGTTTTGCTGACCTTGCAAATACCTGCATGGTGCCAGCCTGGGCTGCCAGTCAGGGGTGAGTATCTTGGGTGAGAGCTTGTGGGCAGGTGCTTCTGATGAAAAGACTTTTGCAGATATTTGTATCATTGCATAGGATTGTATAAATCAAACTAAACCTCTGCTGTTTGGTCCTTTTGTTGACTTCTGGATACATCTTCCTTATTAGATTTCCCCCAACCACATCTGGTTTTTGAGTGGTTTTGGTTTAGCTTGGGGTTTTTTTTCAATTTATTTTATTTAATATACAGTTTTCTGGATTGTGCATTTAAAAACAGAAGTGCCGAACTGTCAGAGGAGTGTACTCTTTGAACTGGTAACTGCGTGATCACTTGGGCTGAAGGGCTTTAGCTGGGCTCCTAACTGCCCTTATCTCCCTAAATGCCTCCTTTTATATCTGGAGTTTGAACCCTCCCCCGCCTAATCCTGAAACTTCGTGTCAAAACCCCCTTTCTTGTAGCAGTCAGTGCAAGAGTGTCCAGTGACCACTGCTCTCGTCTGCCTCCTTATTTTACAAAGGAAAAGGCAGTGGCCTTGGAGGAGCCGTGTCTGAGAGGATCCTATGGCGTTTGTTCCACGCTTGACCCACTTTGCAGGCAGCTCTGCTCCTCTTCCACTGCCGCGTGTCCTCGGAAGAGAAACGCAGCCCACTGCTGCTGGAGCGGGGCCTCTGCCCGGGAGAGGCGGCGTCGCAGCTACCTGGGAGTCTGCTCTGCTTTCTTCCCCCTCTCAAAG